GCCTGTCGGCGAAGAAGTATGTGAATGTACTTGATTTAGCGATAACGATAACGGCGCTGGGCTATGTTGATGTGCAGCAGTTGGTGTTAACGCGCTTGCAGCATGCATAGCAGCCAAATGATGACTAGGGTGGGCATAGTAAAGCGCATTGTTCATTGATGGAATGTGAGACGAAGATTGTTGTGCAGCGCTCGAAGAAGTAGTTATAGATGGTGCCAGTGAAGTTATACTATTTGATTCTGATAATTTAAGAGGAAGTGCTGAACTTGCACTTATATTTACGCTGTTATGTGGAGATGTAGTTGCGGTAGATGTATGCGATACTGCCGAAGAATGAGACGGCATTTGGTGGGCCGACGTAATTACTGGATGGTGTGGTGATATATGTGGATGACCTAAACTGAGGCTATGATGTGTTAATCCCAGAGCAGCAGCAGAAAAACCTGGATGAGTTAAACCAGCAGCAGCTGGATGTGCTAGTCCTAATGCAGCTTGTTGTAAATGATGTGGTAGATTTGGTGGTCCATGCGATAGGGATGGAACTCCAGCTAAACCGCTTAAACCTAAATTAAGTCCCATAGGATTATGTGGGCTTTGACGTTGAGTAGCTGCATGATAGGGCGATATTGCTGGCAAAGAATGTATTCCGCCCGGCGGAGCTCGGAGTCCCAGATTTAGGTGCGGTATCATAGATCCAAGTAAATTTCGATTTAATGGTGAATAAAGAGTATTTGAATAATGATGTGAAGCAGTAAGTAATTGTTGTCGCTCTCTTTCTCTTGCCTCACGTTCTTTTTCCCTCATCTCTCTTTCACGTGCCTCCTTTTCCTTTTGTTCCTTTTCACGTTGCTCCTTTTCACGTTGTTCCCTTTCTCTTTGCTCTTTTTCACGTTGTTCTCTTTCTCGTTGTTCTCTTAATTCTCTTTCTTTTTCGCGTTGCATTTCACGTTCACGCTCCTCTTCACGTGCTATACGCGCACGATGTTCTTCTTCTAATTTTAAACGTTCATGCAACGCAGGTCCTAAACCTAAAGTTGCACCTGGTATCATAGAATACAGATGTGAAGCATAGGACGGAGCTATTTGAGGGTACAAAGCGTGTGGATGAGAATGATGTGCTCCGGCTGCACGTAACATTTGATATCGCTGGTCCAAATACAATTGCTCAGAGTATGGTAAACTCGCAGGATTAAGAAATGCACCTTGAAATAAAAACAAAAATATTATCACGTTATAATATAAGAATATTTCTTTAAACTTACCTGGCGGCATACCGGGAAATGCACCAAAAGGAGAATATGCTTCTAAAGGAAAAGCACCAGCTGGATGCAAAAGACGTTCGTCCGATCGATAAGGCTGAAAACCACTACGGGCTAATAGTTCCGGCTGTATAGATGCAGCTTGTGGTGGATTTAATCTAGCAATTTTCTCTGGTGGCTGCGGTGATGGAGCAGAACGTTTCTTCGCTATTGAACGATCATCAATTGCAGCTGCTGATACTACTGATGATGATAGGCGATCATTCGAAATTGTTGATCGAGATTGATTAGAATTTGTAACAATAGTATTTGTATTTGGAACTCCTACTGATGGTTGTACGCCACCGGCTGATGAAGTTCGTTCATTACGTTCTCTTACTACACCGTCTTCATCTTCTTTAATATCGGCTTGTTTGGCTAAGTTTCGTAGCGCTGCTGCGAAAGAACCGCGTCCGCCTGAAGCATTTGGGTTAAGATTTGCAGAAACACCAGCTAATTGTTGTTGCACTTGAGCAGCAGCAGCAGCGGCAGCAACTGCCTGTTGATGAACTTGATGTTGTGTTAAAGATGGTGATTGTGCACCCATGTGATTTGTAGGTAAACCGTGATTAAGTAAATTAGAAGCTGCTTGTGATACAACGTTACTAGCAGTAGTTCCGCTATTTGCCGTTCCAGAAGATTGTAAATGATGTGGAGATGGTATAAGAGGTGCTGGACTTGTAGCTGGACGCTTTTGTCCAGTTTTTGGTGGTACTAAAATAAAAAAAATCCTTCAGTTAATACAGAATTTCATAGATAAAAAGTATATATAAAAGACAAAAAAATATATAATTTTAGTTTATAATAAACGGTTGCAAATATAATATAAATTTTAAAACTCAGTTATTAGGATTTTGACTTCTTATGTGTTTAAATCAAGCAAATATTTTCCATTGAATAATTGTACATCAAAATTGAAGGCTGGGAATTAAAACCAAAAACCAAATAAAGGAATAAAATTTTCTATATGAAATATGTAGGAAAAAATAAAAAGAAGTAAAATCGGATTTTCATTGCTAGGATGCTATATTATGTATGCTTCGCTAGAGTTCACGTCTGCATTGTCATCGTTGCAATGACAACAACTCCCACAGCAAGTTACTGGTGCCATTGCTAAGCCAAAAACGATTTGTTGTACTCATAGGTTTGTTTGGAAAAGGCATCAGTATGCAGGGCACAAGTTTAGTTACAGCTCAGCAGTTTGCACTGCCGTTGGTAAAGCAATTGACAACCGTGCCAGCCCCAACATTAGAAAATCTCTCCCATGCAATGCACTCTGCTGCAATATTACAGCAGATATAACAAAAAATGGCATACGTTGAGTATACACAAATATTTGTGTTATTTAAGTTCGTATGCTTATGCACAAGTGTTAGTTGGGAATAAAAAATAAAAGCTGAAGACCAAAGTGTACATTCACTATCGGGGAGTGTTTGTTTGACAAAGCCCTACACTATTCGTTCATGTTTTTGGCCCATACCGATGATATTGCTAAAATCTTTAAACGGACGTAAACTACATAACGCAAAATACTAAAAATTTTACTTTTAACTCAAATATAGTTGGCTAAAGTTTAATAGTTAAAAATATTTTCAGAAGTTCCTGAAAATATTAAATATTCCGGTGTTTGCACTTTTTAAAAGAATATCAGTGATAATTTTGTGATGTCGGTTCAGTTCCGGCTGTATAGATGTCGTTTAATCTTCGTTTATAATAATGTTTTATATCCGGCTACATGTCACCTTTGTTTTTTTTCTCTTCCTTTATAAATTTCAATGGGTTTATTATTCCATGATTTATATGGAGGCATAACAGTGCTACTATGCTTCTTAAGTAATGAACAATTTGTTTACTAAGAACTAGATATGCAAAATGGTGCGCTCTAAATGTTTTCTCCATCGGTTAGATTAAATATCAATCAAGATTTCTTGCGCGATTTCATCATATAGACTATGACCACCAAACATAGGTCGCTCTGACGTCTTTTAAGATATCGAAGGTGCTTTAAATTATGTTTAGCACAAATATTTGTTGCAAAGGATTTATTTAAAATATATATAAACACAACAAAATATCGATAATTCCGAGCTTACTATTTGAAGGAGTTTGCATCAGTATGTAACAATAGACGAAACGTAGATATGCCAAAGCATATTGGAATCAAAATGGAAGTCACCCTAAAGCAGAAAAGTCGATGAATTTTACTTAAGTGACCAAAATCTCACTTTTCATTTGGTGTGATTAGGGTATATATATTATTAAATACAGAAAATGCAAAATATAATATCCACAAACAAGAATGGAATTATATAACTGTTAAGTGGTTCTATATTTATAAATCAAGACAATTTCTAAACAAATAATATTAATTTTTTTACGGGTATTATAGTAAATTAGTAAAGACTTTTCTAAAGAAAGTCAAGACGGGTATTATAGTAAAACTTTCCACAAAGACTTTTCTGGACAAAAACTACACTTAGCATGTGATGTTAAAGGAAGAGACAATGGGAGACACGTGGGAATTCTCAAGTTGAGCATAACGTAACGAGATGGAGAGGAGAGTTTAACGTTTTTAACGGGCACAATATATGTAACAAATATACTTAAATATTAATATTTAGTTATTAAAAAGTTTTTATATTATACAATAATATTGAGAAATAATAGAGAAATAATAATTTTATCAAATTATAAATATCCCTGTGGCATAATTTTCAATAAAATTTTTTACCAATATTTAAAGTTGTAGAGAAGAAATTGTGATTTAATTCGTTATATCAAATATGACAATTTCTTATTATTGCTAATGAAACTTTAAAGACTGCAAAATTAGAACCAGTTAAAAGACACATATAGTAGACTTATGTTGATGTAAAGTATACAGTAAACTGCAGCTTTAAATAATATTTCAACATTTCAAATAGAATAAAAATTAAATAAGGAAATAATAATGAGCTTTTATAAAACCTAAAATAATAATTTTTACAGAAAAGTTACAGAAAAAATTCATTTAAAAATCTGTTATGTTAAAATAATCAAGCGATATTCTAAATTAAATATTACACAATTTAAAATGATCAATAAAATTTTGAATATTACCATTCCATTGTTTAAATATAAATTTACAAATAATTTCATTACAAATGAAATACAAACTTTTTTCAAATATGAAAATGTAATAATTAAACTGAATTCTACCCTCCAGACTTTTAAGAGAAATACAATGCTACGTTTCGAGTTAACACAAACACCATGTATGTTCGGTATTCAAATTGGTTAAATTTCGTAAACAGATTTCATAAATTATAGTTATTGTTATTTACATAATGTTACTGGTTTTATACATATACAATGTGTAAATAAAAATATTATTAACCAAACAAATCTAAAATGCATCGTGTAAATTTCTATTCGCAGCACATTCAAGCGTTACGAATGGTTCTCTCCAAACCCCCACGTACGGCATGAGCATTGTTTGTAATGTAAAGGATGTATTCGATGCATTGGTCACAAGCAAATAATGGCGAAGCAAAACTTGGTACCTTCATGTATATATAGTAGAGGTACTTACTTACATAGGTTAGAATTTAACATAGTGTATATATTTATATTTTGAATAACTATAAATGTAATCTATAATATAGAACAAATATTTTATAAAATATTAAAGGGACTTTAATTCATTTTTAAATATTTTCTATTATTATATCGACAGCTAAAAAAATATCTCATAAAGGAATTGTTTCCAAATGAGTTTTTAGCTTATATAGGCAAGAACTTGTTAGCTGTTATTTAATGAAATAAGAACATTTTACAAGAACATTTCAATTGCTTTTTGCTTAAGACCATGTTATACATACAGTCATGGTAACGTCTACGTATATTAAGAAATTGAGAATGAAAGAAAGATTTCATTAAAATGTAGTCACAGTGATAAGACTTTGTGTACCTCGTCATGGTGATCAAAACAGTGTAGCTCAGTATATTTTTTTTCAATATGTCTTTATTGAATCGCTTTTTTTAAAGCCTAATTCAATTTATTTCCAAATTATTTTACAGATACATACCACAATGAACTATAAAATAAATTGTAAATCATTTTAAGGGGCCAATGCTTATTTACCAGATATCACGGTACGTAAGTTGGATTAAACAGGATAATCTTGAGGAAAGCAGGATGACAGGTCAGCCCAGAGAAATTAATCATATTAGCAAGAGGTTTAAGCAATAGATTCACCTTATTCTCTCGAACTCGACTTTAACTATCGGAACTTCCAAATCGAAATGTATGTTTTCATTTCTGATATAGCAGGGTGCACCAGTTATCATTCTTAGAATATTTGCTTGAGCTCTTCGCAGAATTTTTGTTTGAAGAATAAGACAAGACTTTATACTCTAAACATACAGGAGACTGATGCCCAATTAGTCAACGAAGGTTTATAGCCTGTACCTCAGTAATAAATGTCAAAATATGTGCATTTTAGTAAATAAGTATAACAAAAGTATTAAAATTGTAGTTGAAGTACAAAATTGTTAATTGCAATATGGCACCATATTAATTTATGATAATATATAAAAACCATATTATGTAGAAAGTCACATAACATAGATGGATTATTTAATATGGTTACTTGGTTAGTTGCAGATAACTTTCCGTTGATTTTAATTACCGATTTTACTACATTTCTCGCAGGAAACCTTAAGATAGAATAAGACACAAAAAATGTATTCCGTCGTATTTAGATAATTAAAAAGACTGTGAAAAAAGTACTTCCCTAATAATATGTTTCTTCTGGAGATCAGACCTAGGCACTCATAGTTTACTTGTTTCTTTTTCCTATAACTTTCCACAACTTCTGTAATGAGTATTAAAAGGAATGTGCAGTTTTTCTGTGTGGGTTCTATACACAAATTACCAGAGAAAACTGCAGTAAACCTTGCAACATTCACTCGGTCTTTTTTTATTGAGTTTAGAAGATGCGGTCTTATTATATGAGGGTCACATTAACTGGGAAATTACGCATGACCCCAGTATATCTTATTTATTAGTGCCAAAGAATTAATTGATGTACAGTGCTAGCAATATGATAGCAAGTGTTTATAAATATTTAAAATATTTTTGTGTTATTTTAATAAAATTATTCCCACAACTCAGTTATAAAACCTATAATTTACTAATCCTTGTATGAGTTATAAAATTGCAATAATATAATAATTGAATATTTTTAATTATTGCATAAAAGTAATTTTGATATATGCAAATTGATATATAATTATTAACTGCATTAATAATATACACATGCACACTATTGGTCATTTACATCGAACATTTCCTGAACCATACATTATCTCTGTCACTTAATATCTCAACAGTAGCTGCGGTAATTTAGCTTCTATTATGAATAATAAATGTAAAACTAAAGTGAAAATGTAACCTTTTAAAGTTTGTACTGACACTTTTTTATGTTAGTCATTACACGCACTTTTCCTGGTATACCCTATGTCAGACCTCTAAACTCACATGTAGGTATATATCTATTCACATGTGTGAAGTCATGTCCTTCGCATAGCTGACAAACGTGCAATTGCGTTCAATGTTCACAGTGGATGTATTTCCGTTTAACTTTATTTATTTTTTATTATTTTTCATTGCCAGTAAATATGATGAATGGTAATTATTTCCACTCGTATTGTGGGTTGCCCGCTACTCTTGT